GCCCACAGACGCCTGTGTAAACAATAAACCTCTTGTGGTTTGCATCCAACTGTCTGGTTATTGAGCTCGGGACGACACAGGGTATTCAGCCTGATAACTTCAGGTCTTTCAGTAACCTGTGTCAGCCATCACAGGATCTTTGACCCTTCTGTTTCTGCTAATTACTGTTGGCCCTTGTATCATTAATGCCTTAATTAGATACATAAATTTTGATCTAGGTACCAGTAAATTGAGAGTTATTAGATCCCAATATAACCAGATGATCACTACAGAGTCAAGGATGTAGTGAAACTCTAGCAGAGTCGTTGTCTCTAGGGTAAACATTAGAATGAAATAGTTGTTTTTAATGTAGCATGGGTAAACTTTAGAATGAATAGTTGTTTTCTAGAAGTCCTTTGATCTTGAAGAAATCCATTGTGGAAAACAGCAACTGTTTTCTGTTATCTATAGAGTTGGTTTTTTTTTTTACTGAAGGAGTTTCACAGCCTTTGTATGATTTTGATCACAAGGCTATCCTGGCACACCTGGACTGTCTTGAATTATTGTGTAATCTAATCAGTACATAATAAGGGCTAAAGTAGCAGAGGTATGATGTGTTCCTTCAGAAAAACATATAGATTAGATCAGGGGCCTTGGCATGTGGAACTTGTTTTACCCCCCAAAAAAACCTTTTGTGTAACAATCAACAAATAAACCTTGCATGGCTGTTTGGGATTCAGTTTACAGAAACTGTTCCTTCCTGCTGCCAGAGAGTCTAAGATGCATCCTGGAGTGACCCTCTTTCTTCAATTGACCCATGCAATACAGAATACCCAACACAAGGATTTGACACAGGATACAACGAAAGTGGAGAATGGGAGACCAAGACAGGAACAATATACCTTGCAGGTTAAGGCTTCTGTTTGCAGTTAAGACCGAAGTTCCACTAGTATGAATTCAGTCTTTCTCCTTGTAATTTTCAGGTTTAACATGAGGCTGATAGTAGAGGTTACCTTACTTTGCTGTAACCCTTCTCTCTGATGTTTATACCCTTGTATTAGTAAATTGTCAGATTCCAAAGAAACCCAGAACAAGATTCACTCAGTACCTGGGGCTCCTTCCAGCACTTTTCTCCTTGCTACCATCTAATTTCTCCAGCCCAGGAGCTTTGCTTACCTTCCACCAGCCTCTCACTCCTATATAAACCTGCCGTTTCAGCCAGGAGTTCTCTTGGTCCCCCATTCTTGGCTCCTCTTTGCCTCTCTCTTCTCTTCCTCTCTTGTTCTCCCCTCCTCTCATGACCCTGTTCAATATAGATTCTTCCAGAAGCCTCTGTCTGAATGCTCCCTCATACCTACAATAAAACCTCCTCAAACATATCTTTGAGTGAAGCATCTTGATTTATGACCTTTTGTTTTATTAACTAGAAATTTATCAACAAACTTAGAATGATAAGTGATAATTGAAGAATTAGTCTTTATACTCATAACAAAATCTTCTGTTATCTCAGGTCATCTGTCTCTTTCATTCTTTCCTACCTACTCCATATAATCCCTTCCAAGTATGGCCACCTTTGGTCAGGTGTAAAAAACAGGTCTGAGATCTCTAGAGAGTTACCATAGAATCCGAAGTATTTTAGCAAGGCAAAAAGTTTTATTTCTGTAGGCGTGTGTGTAGCATTTAAGAAAGCAAGCACATTTAGTAAGTGTCCACTGGGTTTTTTTTTCCTAACACAAAGTGGCTTTACATTCTTATGAGCATGATTAATTTAAAGTTACTCAGTGAATAAGAAGAATGCAGTTTTGAGCACGGAGTGTAACCTTGAGCACATGTTTTGATTTCAAGGAGTGCTGACCCTGGGAAAAATCTGATTTTCAGCCAAGTAGCTTATTAACAATTTTAAAAAATAGTTTGATCTCGAAGATGGTGATGTACATCTTTAATCCCAGCACTTGGGAAGCAGAGACAGTGAAAAACCTCAATACACCCCCCCTTTTGAGACTCAGAAGGTGGCCTCAGTGGAAAATTCCCCAAGGTCCCTTCCCCTAGATAGGGAACAAGGTCGAATTAAAAAGAACATCCAGAGTGCTGATACAGGACACCAGCAGGCTGTTAAGATAAGTTTAATTCTGACCTTGTGGTTTCTCCAGGAAGGATGAATTATGCCCAAGTTTTAACAATACCCATATTGCTTGCCAGATCTGCACCTGCAGTAGCTCTACTTCTTACAATACCCTTATTACTTTGCTTGCCAAAAGTATGTATATAAAAAGAAAACTGGCTGGGCGGTGGTGGTGCACGCCTTTAATCCCAGCACTCGGGAGGCAGAGGCAGGCGGATCTTTGTGCGTTCGAGGCCAGGCTGGACCGATAGCCTCCGAAACAATACAGAGAAACCCTGTCTCGTTAAAAAAAAAAAAACTGTCCTAGAGCCCAGCGCGTTCAGTTAGCTAAGCTGCTGAATCGCCCACAGACACCTGTGTAAACAATAAACCTCTTGCGGTTTGCATCCAACTGTCTGGTTGAGCTCAGGACGTCACCGGAGTATTCAGCCTGAAGCCTGAAAACCTCAGGTCTTTCAACAGGTGGAGCTCTGTGAGCTCGAGGCCAGCCTGGTCTACAGAGCTAGTTCCAGGACAGGCTCCAAAGCTACAGAGAAACCCTGTTCAGGAAAAACAAACAAACAAACAAACGACAAACAAACAAAAAATTTGTCAGCTTGGTGTAGTGGTACATGCTTTCAATTCCAGCACTCAGGATACAGGACAAATGGGTCTCAGTGGGTAAGATACCAGTCTATATTTCTATGCAAGGCAGGGTCACATACAATGAGACTATCTCAACAAACGAACAAACAAACAAAAAATGGGGCTTGTCTTACTTAATTCCCTTTGATAGAAAAGATGGCACAGAGACTAGAAAGATGGCCCAGTGTTTAAGAACACTTACTGATCTTACAGAGGACCTGGGTTTGGTTCTGAAACCCACTTTCATCAGTTCATGACCACCTGGACCTCCACTTCCAGCAGATCTAATACCCTCCTTTGGCCTCTAATGAAATAGATACAAGTAGAAAAGACAGAACATTTTGTTTACGTTTCCCACATAAGGATGCTATGATACATTTTTATTGCAATTCTAAATGTTATATTCATTATTATACATTTTAAAGATTTATTTATTTTTATTTTGTGTGTATGAAAATGCACCTATATGTGCTTATGTACACCATGTGCATGCAGGTACTTAAGGAGGCCAGAAGACGGTGTTTGTATCCCTTGGATTTGGAGTTACAGAGGGTTGTGAGCCATCTTGTGGATAATGGGACCCAAATCTGGCCTTCTGCAAGAGCAGACCATGCTTTTAAGTGCTGAGCCACCTCTTCAACATAGATTGTAATTTTTAAATTACAAGTGAGTGAGGGGTACATGGCTTATACCTATAATGCCAACACTTGGAAGCCTGAGGCAGGAAGATTGCCTGTTTGAAGTTAGCCTGGCTACTAACCACTTTGGGCTACAATGTGAGACCGCCTCTCAAAAAACAACAATCAAATATACCAAAATTGAGTTACAATTATATGCAGTAACTTGGGAATGTTATGCTTCTTTTCCTCCCATTCACAGTCTTGCTATGTAACCCAGGCTAGGCTGGAACTCATAATCTTATAATATTTGGTATCTGGAACTCATAATCTTACTGGGAATTAAGTGTTAGAATATGGGCCTTTACCATTACCCCTTTACCACTACTGGCTTCATGCATCTTTTTGTCTTTCTAGAATAAAATATTTTATTTTACTTTTAATCTCTTTTAAGATGATCAGCCTTACTGAACTATCCTTTGGCTTTAAAATGGAAAAATTGTCCTTGTTTGAAAGTCTTGGCGACTCATTGGAGGCTGATTCAAAGCCAAAATGTATTATGCTAAAATTGTATCTTTTAAAGTACTGTTTTATTTACATGCATTTTCTTTGATTAAAAAGAACATACCCTTTCTTCAAGACCCAGTTATTTGGAGTGTGTGTGTGTGTGTGTGTGTGTGTGTGTGTGTGTGTGCTGAGATGTTTGACCCCAGCCTTACAGAGTCCAAAGGATAACATCTGGTATCCTCCTTTATCGGTACCCACATTATTCACTTTAGCCAGGGTCTTTTTTCTGAACCTGTAGCTCTCACCAGTTTTTCAGTCAGGCTGATTGGTAGCTAGCCAACCTGAGAAATCTTCCTGTCTCTTCCCCTCACAGAAAATATCAGGTACTTATTTGCCTAAGAATACCACAGGATGCCAGGTGTTGGTGGCGCACACCTTTAATCCCAGCACTCGTGAGGCAGAGTCAGGCGAATCTCTGTGAGTTCGAGACCAGCCTGTTCCACAAGGGCTGGTTCCAGGACAGCCTCCAAAGCCACAGAAGAATACCACAGGCCTTTTGGGACACTTTTTAATTTTCTTTTTATCATGTTTATTTATGCGGTACATTCTCCCTTACTGATCCACTTGTGCTATCCAAGTGTGTACCTCAATGCTTTGCATATAGGTAGTCAATATGTTTACTATCAATGTGACTATTAGCAACTACAGTCGTACCTCAGGATTTCTATAGTGCACTTAATTTACAGGATTTTATTTTAATCCCTGTTTCAATCTTGTAAACTAATAGTCACTTCCATTCTAGTATTTCTTTTCTATGGATGAGGGAGACAAGATATTTACTGTCAGCAAAACTAAGCTACAATTAATTTTCTGACTTCAAGTTCCTGGTCCTTGATATTGTACCACTGGTGCAGGTCAAAACCACAGTATGGATTCCTGCACTAGAATTTGGAGCCCCCTTTGCGAGGCACTTCCGGAACCTAGAGAAGAGATGCTCAGGCTTCCCTAAGGGACCCAGTACGCAGGACTACATCTCCCATAGGGCCACGGAGCTAAGCCTACGGCGATTGGTTACAACTAACAGGCAATACGACACGGCAAGGTAAGGACCAATCACATGACGAGGAGGGGGCGGGCCCTTCCGCGGGGAGGCCAGATTAAGCCGAGAGCTAACGGCACTGTTAGCTGAGTTCGGTGGCAGCGTGTGGCCATTTCTGCGTTGTCCTCGTCTTCAGTGTTTCCTTGCGGTCGCGCGCGGGTTGACCGCGAGTTCTGCGTTTGAGAGTTCGGTAAGAAGCGCGTGCCCGCGGCGCTTCCCCGGAGGTCCTGCGTGTCTGCTCTGGAGCTTCAGGCTCCTGGATCTAAGCGCTGGCTGGAGCCGCCCGCGGTGGAATTCTTTGGAGATCACGCCTTCCCTGCTTGAGGAGGAAGTTCGACGGCGTGTCGCCTGCGTTGTCGCCACCCGGTAACGCCTCCACCCAGGTTGAGCGGTTCTGTCGGTGCTTCAGCTCCTCAGGTGCTTCTCCAGAGACGCTGCCCGGAGCTCGGGGGTCCGTTGTCCTTGCTGGGTCTTTTTCCCAGTCTACATGCGCTCGGTTCCGGAGCGGCGAGCGCTGCCTTTAGCACGACAGTTTGCAGTGGGCCCCAGGGGAAGTAATGTATGATGTAACACCCGTATTCAGTAAATATTTACCGATCGCTATCAGCCCCAGAAAAGTTAAGATGCTAGGAGACCGGTAAGGCAGCCTAGCCGGCTGGAACCATGTGGTGTCTTAGTTTCTTTTTCTGTTATTTACTTCTGCAGAATCTAGTGTTAGCTTGACCGTGGGCTGAACTGACTCCTAGTGCCAGGGGTAGGGATAGGACGTGGAATAGTAATCACAAATGATCTTGGTGTTGGTGGCACCGGCTTCCACAATGAGAAAAGACACAGGCAATATAAATTTAGTTCTGCGTGTCTTAAAAATTTGGGCAGAAATTCTGTAACACGTGGGAGGTGTGTGGGAAGACGTAGAAACCAGAGAATTAGTAGTAAGGACATGGGGTTGTGTTTGCAGGCAAGAAGCCCTGGTTTAATTAATTCCTGACTCTGCATAAAACTAGACGTGGAAGTAGGATTTGAGGCTTAAGGCTATATACTGTGCTACATAATGAGTTAAGGGCCAGTCTGGGCTACATGAGACCCTGTTTATTTGAAGACAGAACAGTGACTATGGTATGACATTGTGTAGCCCTGAGAGGAGGGTGAATATCTGACAAGTGGGACTGGTAGATTTTTTTTTTTCTTTTGGATTTTTCAAGACAGGGTTTCTCTGTGGCTTTGGAGGCTGTCCTTAGGATGGTCTCGAACTCACAGAGATCCACCTACCTCTGCCTCCCGAGTGCTGGGATTAAAGGTGTGCGCCACCACTGCCCTGCAAAGGTTTGTTTTGTTTTTTTGTTTTTCGAGACAGGTTTCTCTGGCTTTGGAGGCTGGCCTGGCACTGGCTCTGTAGACCAGGCTGGCCTCCAACTCACAGAACTCTGCCTGGGATTAAAGGCATGTGCCACCAACACCCGAGAATTGCTCTTGCAACCTGTGGGACAGTGCCTAACAGTTCATAGCTGCTATAAAATAAGATCTCTCTTTTTCATAGGGGTGTGGCATAGTAGCTTGAATAACTTTTTTTTTTTAGGGTTTCAGGCTTCCTCTTTATTTAAAAAAAGAGAAATTTCTTCCTTTGAATACAGTTATGACTGTCAGCAGAAAGCCTGAAAATTTAGAATAGGTTGACAGAAAAAAATCAAAGAAAATGGTTGCATAGGCATCTGGTCCTGTCCCCTCCTCCACATTCATCCATAGTTGGACAGCCATGTTCTAGGCCCCTTACCTCCTTACCTGTGGCTTAGAAGTGACATTAGATTTATTTCTACTTCTCTCACCTATGTGTTGGTATTACAACCGTGTTTTAACATCCTGAAACCCTTAGCCACTGGGTCCGCCTTTTGCTGTCGTTGTGTTTTTATTGTTGTTGCTGTTGCTCTCATCTCTATCTCCTAGTGTGCTGTCCAGTCTCACGCTGTTGTTAATGAAGAACTAGGAGTCTTGAACTTTAAAAGTTGAGCCTGAAAGCTGGATGTGTCCTGAGCTGTGACTGTGCTCGTGGTGGAATGCTTGCCTTGCAAGCTTCAAGCCCCAGAGTGACTCCTTCCACCAGGTGGTCAGGGAGGGACAGTAACCTCAGTCCTTGATTGTGTCCCTTGGGGAAAGGAGACTTGTGGGCCAGTAGCAATTTTGTGTAAGAAAGTTTCAACTACAGTTTCTAGTGATTTCTTGGTTTCATCATTGCATGTTTTTAGGAGCTTAGCTAATGAATGATTAATGGAAGAATGAATAAATGAGCCAGTGAATTGATAGCAGCCCAATTCTCTTCCGGCTTTTAAATATTAGTGAGAGAAAAATATATTTCAAAAGTGAGATAATATGTATACATATGCCTACAAAGTGTAGCAAATCAGTTCAAACTAGAGATTAGAGGCCCCAAATGAAAGAAGTGGCTGGCAAGGGACTTGTAGGGCAGATCACTGAAACAGCAAAAGTAGGAAAACTGCTGAGAAAGCATTGAGGTCGTTCGCTTATGATGCAGAAAAGAACAGTATTTTTTATCCTCCTCCATTTAGCCCTGTGCAAAGGGAAGTCCCACCGCAGACCCAACCCACCTTAGGGCTGTTCTCTCTTCAGAGCTCGCCACTCACATTTGCATGTTAAAAACTGATTGTCTTGTATCTTCATCTTATTCTTGAAGTTTCTTGCTTTTCTTTGTGGTGCTGGGGGTGCTGGGGATCTGCTGCAATGCTATCTACATGCGAGGCAAGTGACTTACCCTGGGCTGTATCCCCAGTCTTATGGACTCAGGTGCCACCGACTTACAGACCTTTCAGCATCTGATAGGTGCTGTGAGCAGTTAGTCCTGCTTTTACTTATTCTTTCAAATGTTTGGTGTGGATATAAATGGCACTAGTTAAAAAAAGTTCAAGTTAGGAAAAGGAAAAAAAAACACAAACCAAAAAGAAAGAAAAAAGAAAGAATAAACGAAGGAAACAAACAAACAAACAAAAACCCAAACCAACAAATGCGGTAGGAGCAGCTCAAACTGAGGAAAATAATGTGTGATCTCCTTAGGCTTATTTGCTTGGACAGTTCTTGGGACTCTTTTCTTCCTTTTTTTATTTTAAATATTTTATTCATTTTAAATACCAACCACAGTTACCCCTGACTCCCCTCCTCCAGCTCCCCCCACACCTTTTTCCCCAGAGAGGGTAAGGCCTCCCATGGGGAGTCAACTAAGCCTGGCATATCCAGTTGAGGCAGGACCAAGTCCCTCTCCCCTGCATCAAGGCTAAGCAAGGTCTCTCACCATAGGGAGTGGGCTCCAGAAAGCCAGCTCATGTATCAGGGATCAGTCATGGTCCCACTGCCAGGGGTCCCACAAATAGACCAAGTCACAACTGTCACCCACATTCAGAGGCCTAGTTTGGTCCTGTGTAAACTCCCCAGCTGTCAATTCATAATCCAGAGTTGGAACTCTTTTTTTTTTTTACAGCAGATACATATGTATGTATGTATATACACAGATATGAAACATAAAACAATTTCTGATCATGATCATGTACTCGGGGTTATTATGAAAGCATATATTCTTTTTTTCTTTTCTTTTTTTTTTTTTTTCGAGACAGGCTTTCTCTGTATTGCTTTGGAGGTTGTCCTGGAACTTGCTCTGTAGACCAGTCTGGCCTCAAACTCACAGAGATCCCCCTGCCTCTGTCTCCTGAGTGCTGGGATTAAAGATGTGAGCCACCAACTCTTAGCCAAAACTATGTATTCTTTTACTTATCCTAAAAGATGTGTCAAAGAATCTGTTCTACTTAGAATCAGGATAGTCATCACTTCTGCTTTTTTGCTAAGATCAAGTATAGAACCAGTCTAGTCAGTTGTAAGACATACAGAATGTTCTAGAACTAATGAACTGAACACAGTTACTTTTTTGGAGGGGGTGTTCTTTCCAGAAGAGTAAAGTTTCAGTGAATGCCTACTATGTTGTAAGGGAAAGGATAATCATC